TATAATAAATGTAAATCAATTTCATTTTTGTATTTCAGACGAAGTATATTTGCAGAATGCTGGTCACCGCAATTCGCCTTTTTTCTTAAGGCGCCACTTCAATGGCTCATATCTCCAAAAGTTTTTGTTAAAAAATTTTTTTTTTCTTTTAAATTATAGCTTTTTACATGTACTTTTAACTAATAAATAGTATTCTTTAAAATGATTCATTGTTCTTTTGGAAAATATTCTTGTAAAAAGCATTATTTGTTGAATTACAACTGGTGTTCCCCCCTTAAGATATATATTGTAATTTTTAAGAAATGCAAGAATTTGCGTTGTTAAACGGAAAGTTTTAGCAAAAATAATATATATTAATAATTATTCAAAATAATATATTTAAATATCTTTGATTTTTCAAACTTTAATAATTCTGTAATAATTAACATTATAAGATTTGTATATTGTTCAATCGACTAGCTAGTAAATATTTTACAGAATGATAATTATAGTTAGATAGTTTATTACAATTTTTTATTTTTATAACGACAATAATTCTGTAATACTTCATTACAATATATATCTTAAGGGGGGAACACCAGTTGTAATTCAACAAATAATGCTTTTTACAAGAATATTTTCCAAAAGAACAATGAATCATTTTAAAGAATACTATTTATTAGTTAAAAGTACATGTAAAAAGCTATAATTTAAAAGAAAAAAAAAATTTTTTAACAAAAACTTTTGGAGATATGAGCCATTGAAGTGGCGCCTTAAGAAAAAAGGCGAATTGCGGTGACCAGCATTCTGCAAGTATACTTCGTCTGAAATACAAAAATGAAATTGATTTACATTTATTATAAGATTATCTAGTTCGTGATCGAAGGATTAAAAAAAAAATTTGACAAAATGGCGACCTGTCAAAGTCAATAGTATGATTTTCGTTAAAAAATACGGTCGATTTTCAGCTATATAAAAAAAAGTTTTGCATAAAAAAAAATCCTTCGATCACGAACTAGACTTATATGTGTAAATGAAGCACACTAAATTTTAAATAAATCGGTTTAATGGTATTCGAGTAATCGTGGTCACCGACTTGGAAAATGTCATTTTGAGAAAAACGCATTCAAAGTTTCAACTTACTTTTTTTTGTTCAGAAGAAATTTTGTTTCCAAGTTACAAAGCGTCATCGATTGAAACTGTTCACTGTTGTTGACAAAACACACAGCAGGTAAAGAAACCCGAAATACAGAAGTGAAGGATCATAGGAAAAGGCCATGTGTCGTTAGGGTCAGGTACGGCTGGCCACCTTGTATGAAGCCACGGGACGCGCCGCTGCAGTGTTCTGTATATCTCATTTATTTTTCACCGGATCAACTTGCAAATTTACAGACACATTTCTAAATATGTATACTTTAAGAAAATGCACAAAAAAATCGATTTTTCGAAAGTTACAACTGGTGTTCCCCCCTTAATACTAGAGACACCTATGATTATAATTAAAAAATATAATCATATTATTTGAAAATAAAATTCTTACTAGTAACTAATTTTAATTATTTTCTTTTCAAAAAACTTATCCTTAAAAATATATAAATATAAAATAAAAAATAAATATTTAAACTTACCTTCCTTAATTGTTTTAAAACCTTAATTGCACCAAGAAAACTTGTAAGAACATAAAATAATATTGCACACATTATACGTGTATAATACACACAAAATTAAAAATACAATTCAATTACATTTTTTTAAAAATAATATGACAATTAATATTAATAATGATGACATTAAAAAATTGTACAATATTAAAATTGTAACTTTGAAAAAAAAGTAATTTTTCATATTTAAAAGCAAGATAGAATTAATTTCAGAAATATTAGACAGCGCAACCTAATCTACTTTACCAACATACACAAACTACTAATTAAAAAACCAAGGATGGGAAGATACAACAAAAAATAGTTGACACATAAAGTTATGACAAATGGGAATTATGTGAAATGAAAATTGTGTCAAATGAACATTATGTTAAATTTAAATTATGCTAAATAAATATTATGTCAAACTTAAATTATGCTAAATAAATATTATGTCAAGTAATTATTATAAAAAATAAAAATTATATCAAACATTACTTATGACAAATGACACTTATGACTAACAAGAATTATGACAAATGAGCATTATGAGAAATGAAAATTAAGACAAATCAACATTTACAACAGTTTTTACTAATTTTTAGTAAAACAACTACTAATTCATAGAGTAAATCGGCTTACTAATTTGAAATAATAAAGAATACGACTTACTCCATAAATTAGAAGTTTTCTACTAGCAATTAGTACTTTTTTTTACTACAAATTAGTCATAACTGTTACTAATTCAATTAGTAAAGGAATACGCACTCTTTCATTAGTAGAAAACTATACTAATTCAGATCCAGCTTGACGTCAAGCTAGCAGTACGAAGGGTTACTTTAAATAGGTAAAGGGCCCTAAATTTTTGCATGTGGTACTAAATTAGCCCTAATTGAGCCCTAAATGTTAGCATATATAAAAACATTTTTCGTGGAAGTGGTACTTATAGGATTAACGACCTCTTTGGCTAGACTTTTCAGACGAGCGACGCTATTTAGGGTCTTCCTAGTGGTTAAGTAGCAGCAGAAATGGGCAAGCTTATCAAGTAAAAGTTGAATTTTTGCAAATATTTCGCGAAATTATGCCGGCATTAAATTCGGCAATAGAGCATTGCGGAGCCTTAAAAAAGCCCTAAATTTTGACCTATAGTAGACCTTCCTACGAGTGCTCCTTCATTGTGTGGACAAACTGATGTCAAGTAAAAATTGAATTTATCAATTATTTCTCGAAATAATGCCGGCATTAAATTCAGCAATAGAGCATTGAGGAGCCTTAAAAAGCCCTAAATAATGACCTATAGTAGACCTTCCTACGAGTGCTCCTTCATTGTGTGGACAAGCCACCTTAATGTTAAGCTAGCTTGTCCACAAGTTTTTTAAAGAAAATGCCGAGCATTAAATTCGTCATTAGGGCATTAAATTAGCCTTAAATGAGCCCTTAATTTTCAAATAGGTTTTATCCAGATCGGACAATGTGGACAAGCCAGGTTAACGGACCTAAATTAGGGGGTGGTGGGAGGCCAAGAGGGTTGAAAAAAGGGTTTCAAGGTCAAACTGTTTTAGAACCGGCACAGCCGTACTACTTATCTGCAGTTGTAATTTGGCTATATGATTATGTAGAATGAACTACTATTTATTATATCTATATAAAAATAGTTAAATTAACTACAGAAGAAGCGTCAGAATGAATGTAAAAGTAGTTACTTCAACTATTTTTTACTCAACTATCAAATGGTAGTTGAATTTCTTGGTTACCATGTCTTTACTTAAAAAATTAAAATATACGCAAAAGAAAATAATCTTCTTCTATTATATTAAGTTAACAAATTTGCATAAGCGACACCGTGACCTCGACACCATCCTTGGAAAATCTATAATCACTTATTTTCAAATAAATTAAAATACTTTGCCATATTCTTTTAGAAATCTTACATACTTTTTTTGTAACATGTTTTTTCAATTTTAACCCGAAAAAGGGTTATTTTGCAATTTTATGCAATTTTTTACGAATTTTTGGATATATACCTTTAAAATTACTCTATTTTTAAAAAGTTACATATAAACAATTTTTTTCAATTTTTTATGTTTTTTTAAATTATTTATTGTTGTTTTTTAAATTTTTAGTTACGAACCTATAATATTGTGTCTAATTTTAAGTGTCATTGAAATCAATTGTTTTTAACTTAATAATTTTAACATTTCTTAGTTTAAAACGAAACATCTTCTATTATATTAAGTTACCAACTTCCAAAAACCGACACAGAGACCGTGACCTCGACACCATCCTTGGAAATACTATTTTCACTAATTTTCAAATAAATCAAAATACATTGCCATATACTTTTAGAAAATCTTACATACTTTTTTTTGTAACATGTTTTTTCAATTTTAACCCGAAAAAGGGTTATTTTGTATTTTCTTCCCAAAAAAAGAGTTATTTTGCAATTTTATGTAATTTTTTACGAATTTTTTGATATATACCTTTAAAATCTCTTTATAAAGGTTTACTTTGTATAATAAAATTAAAAACCGATATGTTAAAAGGTTTTTAGATTTATTATGAACATTTTTCTAAAAAATTTGCAAAATCTCCATGTGTTTGTGGGGCAATTTACTGCAATATAATATAATATAATATAATAGAATATAAGATAAAAAAATATTAATATTATATAATATAATTAATATTGTTGTTATAATTATAATAAATTAAAACATTTAATATTTAACAATTGTCATTTCATCCTTCAATGATACTGATGAAAATTAAGAAAAATTTTACACAATATTAATAATATATTAATTTAAAATATAAATTATATATATGATATACATAAACTACAATAAGTAAACAACAATAAGTACAACTATAACGGAGCGAGCGTTAGCGAGCGAGGAATACATCGCTAGTTTCAATAAATTTGAAAAAGGTACAACTTGTGATTAATACAATTAATTTAATTAAATCATTCTTTTTCAATTTATTATAACAATTAAATTTGAAATGTACTTACTCTGCCTTCCTTTGATACTGGCTTTGGATCATTAATTAATGACGAATCTGGCTTGAGTTCCGGTCCATCATTAGGTACCTCATCAACATTACAAATAATTTCGTTTGCGAAATTTTCCATTTTTATTAGATCGAAGTAGAATTCAAAAGGTCACTTCAAAAAAATTGCACGTTAGGTACATATATTTTACCACAAACAACCACAAACTTATAAAAAAATCCAGATTTTGATTTCACTGTAAATACAACTAGGTATATTTAAAATTTTATTATTTCGACACTGCACATTTTCACGATTGCTAAGATTATCAAGGATTCCGACGAGAAAAATGAGACGGCACGTGCTAAGCGTTTTTCGAGGTGTGATACATGTGCGTTGCAGGTGAACAAGACGAAAGTGAGATGTTTCAGCGGGAAACGGAAACACATAGTGCCCTCATTGACGAATACACTGAAAATAATGTAGCCAAGAAATTCAACTACCATGAGATAGTTGAGTGAAAAGTAGATACTTTAACTACTTTTATAGTTGGTCTCACCTTGTTACTGTGGTTAATTTAACTATTTTTGAGTAGTTAATGAGGAGTAGTTCATTTTACTCGAATATGAAGTTAAATTGCAACTACATATAAGTTATAGAATTAATTACATTTGAATAATAAAAGTAATTAAAATAATAGTTAATTAAACAATTCAGGAGTTGTAAATGAAACTATCGTATATTAGTCAAGTAAGAAGTAGTAAAAAGAACTACTTCAATAATTGTTATAACATCTTTATGTATAGTAAATTTTACTACTTTCATGTAGTTAATAGTAAATAGTTAAATTAAAGCAAATATAAAGTTCAGTTGAAAAAAACTTAAAACAGCATATGAGTCGTAAAACTAACTATCTTAATGTTTTAAAAAGCACTTTTTTTGTAAATTAATTAATTTTAATTAATTAATTAATTAATTTTACTACTTTTATGTAGTTAATGATTAGAAGTTCAATTTAAGTAAATATATAGTTGAATTCAAAACAGCATATGAGTCGTAAAACTAACTATCTTAATGTTTTAAAAAGCACTACTTTTGTAAATTAATTTAACTTCTTTTACTTGAATTAATTTTACTACTTTTATGTAGTTAATGAATAGTTGTAGTTCAATTTAAGTAAATATATAGTTGAATTGAAAACAACATATAAGATGTATCACTGACTATATCTTCATATAGTACAAATTTCTATATAATAAATTATTCACATCAGTGAAAATAATAATTTATTGCGACTTATTTCCTTCTATCAATTTAAAATATAAAATTAAGAAACAACTTTATTTTGATGCAAAAAAACGTACACTTTTCCATATACCAAAGAAAGTGCACGGAAAGAAATTTTCTGTAGAATTTACAGAGACTCCTGCGCCATCTACTGATGGAAATTGTTGTTTCTCCAAATAGAGAATACATTAAATTCGCGGAACATTATTGTATAAATTAGTATAACTTCTATGTAAATAAATTCATCCTTCAATAATTTTCTAACAAAAAAATGAGGAGCAAGTTTTCAAAACTTATGATAAATCCACTTTTTCTTATGTCGAGAAATTGAAACAAACGACTTCTCTCACTTAATCACTACAGTTAATTTTAAAATAAAAAATTTGTAATAATTTATTTCTATAATAATGTTTATATACTTAAGACGTTTCCTTTTTAATTAAACTTTCTTGCCGACACATGTAAAAACTCCAAATCGATGTTAAAGAATTACCAGAAAATTTTTTTCCGTGTGAGGTTAGATTTCAAAAATATCTTTAAACAGTGTACACTTACAACGTTCTTTAACAAAAAACATTTCACGTATAATGAAACAAATACGATTTGTTTATTTCTAAGAATTATTGTTTGAATTTTAATGATTTACTTTGACAGTTAAGCACTGAACAGAACACGATGTCCCTACAACGCGAAACACGAGGGATACTGCAGTTCATCTCTGAAATGACAAACATGGTCATTTTTACCATGACTTTAGTGGTTAATTTTACTACATTTTTTAAGTAGGTTGCATAGTTAAGTTTACCAAGTATCAATTGTTAAATCAATTAATTTACATTTACTCATTTACACTGTTAAATTTAACTTAATAAAATAAATTCACACTACTTAAAATTTGGTTAATATGCAACAAAATTTAACTAAAGAAATATAGTTAATTCTAAAGCATCATTTTTTTCGGTGTATTACAAATTAAATAAAAATTATGAAAAATTATTTAAAAAATAATGGATAATAATAAATAATAATAAATAATATTTTATAAGGTGTTATTATTGTTGATCAGAGTCCAATTATTGTCATAGATGTTGATTTTGTTTATATACACTGATCTTTATTTAATAAAAAATAAAAAATAATGTTCTCTTGAGAAATTTCTCAATGATTACAAATAAAAAATCGAGCTTTCGCCTCTCTAAGAAAGGCCTTTTCAAGATAACGATTTTAAAAACTGTAACATAACAAGTTAAAAAGTTATAAAGATTACGTCGGAATAAGTCAAATTATCAATATTACAGACGATTCTAACCTATACGTACCATGTGAGCATGTACACTTTGTTCCTTTCGGAAACTTAAAGGCATATCAATTTATATTTTCATAAAGTAAAAGTAAAAAGTCGTATTTGTGTTTAAGCATTAATGTTTTAGGATAGAGAACTTGGTATTTGTGAAAAACAATTGTTTTTGTAAGAACACACATCTCCAAGTAATAAAAATAATAAATAATAAAAAAAATAATAATGAATAAATAAAAACAACATAAATAAAAAATAAGGGATACATGTACAGGTATGTACTATTTATTTACATTTATATACATTTTGTGAAAAAAATATTTTAAATATAGCGCGCGAACTGTCGACTAATGAAATGAGCATGCGCGACTACACTGAAAAAAAACTAGTAGGTTTTACTACTTTTTAACTACTCTGAGTAGTACAATAGGTCCTCAACTGAATTTAAACGGTTCTATTAACTATATAAAAATAGTTAAACCAATTAAAAATGTAATTGGTAGAATGACATTTTGTGATTGTATTAACTCAATTTAAAAATGTTAAAACAACTCAAGATGTAAGTAGTAGATTTTGCTACTTAAAGTGGTTCAATAGGCTTTAAGAACATTTCTTGGTACATTTAATAAATATTTTGCAATTGAAACTACTACTTTAAGTAGTAAACTTTACTACTGAAAGTGGTTCAATAGGCTTTAGGAACATTTTTTTGTAGAATTAATAAATCTTTTGCAATTGAAACTACTACTTTAAGTACGATTATGTACCTAACAGAGAAAATTTCTAAGCGACGGGAATTGAACCTTCGACCCTAACGCTTGCTATCCGATACCTTAACCGACTAACCACGCACGCTCGCTACGACAGTCTGCAAACTACTCGAAGACTACTTTCTGATTCTCCAATTGGTAATTTAACTATTTAAAGTAGTCATTTTTACTATTTTTATTAGTTGCTATAACCATTCCTTTTAAGTTTTGACTTGTAAATTTTTCATCTTTTAATTATATTATAAGTTGTTTAATTGCATAGTGCAGTAAAATCTACTACTTAAAGTGATAGTTTTAATTGCAAAGGATTTTTTAATTCTACGACATAAATGTTCCTAAAGCCTATTGAACCACTGTAAGTAGTAAAAGCTACTACTGAAAATAGTAGTTTTAATTAGAAACGATTTGTAAATTTTACATCAAAAACGTTTTTCAAGCTTATTGAATTAATTAAAATAGTAAAAAAAATACTACTTAAAGTAGTAGTTTTAATCACAAAGGATTTGTTAATTCTACAACAAAAATATTCTTAAAGCCTATTGTACCACTTTAAGTAGTAAAAGCTACTACTGAAAGTAGTAGTTTTAACTGGAAACGATTTGTAAATTCTACATCAAAAATCTTCTTTAAGTTTATCGAATTAATTAAAATAGTAAAAAATCTACTACTTAAAGTAGTAGTTTTAATTACAGACGACTTGTTAATTCTACAACAACAATTTTATTGAAGCCTATAAAATCATAGAAATTAATAAAAAATTTACTATTCAAAAAGCAGTTATATTAATTAAAGAAAATAATTCCTTTTACTACATTTCATATAACTGGTAAATAGTAGTTGGATTTACTACTCTTGAAGTTTTGAGTTGGCTACAATAATTCCACTTGTTTTTACTACCTTAAGAAAGTTAATTTTACTACCGACCTGTAGTTGTACTTTAACTACATATTTACGTAAAATCAACTATTACTTATTAACTTCTTAAAAATAGTTACATTAACTACATGAACATGATTAGATTAACTAAAAAAGTAGTTATTTTAACTACTTTCTAGTCAATTACCCAATGGTAGTTGAATTTTTCGGCAACATTTTTTTCAGTGTAAGGGACAGTCCACTACCTTAATCTAACTTTGTTAGCGAATAGCAATTTACGCTTGCCCATACGCGGAATTGTTAAATAATAAGAATTAGTATTATTTCTAAACATTATTATTTTCTCTTTAAATTATTTATTATATTTTTCTTAATTAACTTCCGCCTTTAACAGCCCTATCATGCTATAAATGTCAGATTTTTCTCTTCGTGTATATAGAGAAAAATTTGATTTCGCCATTTTGAAAATTTTTATAAACGAAAGTACTACAAAGCTTCCTCCACGAGGAAGCAAAAAAGTAACATAAAGTTACAGTTAATAACTAGAAAAATATTTAATATCTGGTACACTTACTTGTATCCCTAAACACTAAAAAAACGATATGTGAAGAATGTCTTATTGTTAGACACTACTGATCGTTTTCATATAGAACGCCTCATATACAACTTTAATGCAGCCTGATGTAGCTACACCGAATAAACGATATTCTAATTTTAAGAATTTTCAACTTATTTTAAAAATATGCGAGACTTAAATAAGCGCCACGAATATATTCTTAAATTAAGAATAGAATCTTCTTATATTAAGAATATTTTCTTAGAATCACTTTTTTAGAATATAATCTTAAAATAAGTATATTTTCTTCTTGTATCAAGAAATATACTTTTAGCAGTTTTAAGGATACTATAAACTTAATTTAAGAATAGTAAATACTTAATTTTAAACCAAAATATACATAATTTCAAATAAAGAAAAAGTACAGTATTTTTATATTAAAAATATTACTTTTATTAAAGTTTTCAAAAAAGAACACAATTTTAATACTTAAAGACAATGTTAACCAATTGTCGAACATTTTTTTTTAATTTGGGATCACAAAAACTTAAATTACATAGATAAGATTAAGAAACGCAATAATATTTTTTTTATAAATTTTGAAACGTGAAAAATTAAAACTAAACAACAATTATTACAATTGTAGAGAACTTCTTCCATTTTTCACTATTATTGTCAAAAAAAACACTCCGACGCGCACGACGACTCGTTAGTCAATGGCGACGCGAACAAGCTAGCAGCACGTCAATTCTAGCGCATATTCTTGTTTTAAGAAGAAGAAGATTTAGTACATAGAAAATGTTCTTAAAGTTAGAATTTGCTTAAGAATATAATTAAGAATATTTATGTAAGAATATAACATTCTTAAAACTACAATATTTTAAGAATAATTTTAAGAATATTTTTTTAAGAAAATAATAATCTTAAAACTAGAATACCGTTTTTTCGGTGTAATTCCGAGAACCCTGGCGGATGGAAAACTACGAATATGTAACGAACTCGTTACACACTCGTGATACTTTCGTAAATTGTTAAAATTATGAAGAAAATGAATGAAAATTGAAGAAAAATGCTATTGAATTGAATAAATCAATTAGGGTCAGTTAGGGTAAATTGGGACAAAATCGCTATTTTTCACAAATTACGTAAGTTTCTTCCTTTAAAAGGTAATATTTGCGGGTTTATTTTTTTTGTTATTTACATTTCCAGGATTAATTTTATGCAGCAGAAAAAAATTTAGATAAGCTTTAAACGCATGGAACCGACTGTCTCCATTTATCCCAAAATTTAAAATTTTTTATAAAATTTAGGGTAAATGGGGACAGCATAGTTTGTAAGAAAGTTTAAAGAAAAAAGTTTCCTTAAGTATATTACTGTATTAAGGGATGAAAAAATTTGAAAAAAATTTGTAGTAGATATATAATAATAGTTGAACCAATTGAAATTTTTTTATTTTTTTTTATTTCAGTATTTTGTCTCGCATTTAAAAAAAACAGACTTAAAAATCATACCAAATTTTTTTTTATTCCTTATGACTTCCATAACATAAATTCATTTGAATTTTTGATTTTTGTTAATTTGGTTAATAATGACAAGCTGTCCCCATTTACCCCAAAAATTTGAAAACTCAGGGTAAATGGGGACAGCTTGTCATTATTAACAAAATTGACAAAAATCAAAAATTCAAGTGAATTTCTGTTATAGGATTCATAAGGAATAAGAAAAAAATTTGGTATGATTTTTAAGTCTGTTTTCTTTGAAATGCTTGACAAAATACTGAAACAGTTTGACTTTGATTTTCTAGTTTTTATGCATTGAGCGATAACTTTTTTTATCTTGCTGCCAATTGTCAAGATAAAAGCTTGTCAATACTCAAAACCTCTTGCAGGTGATCTGAGGTTAAAATATTGACGTTGAACTTAATTTTAAAACTGTAAATTTAGCTCCAAAACCTCTTGTCGCCATTTACCCCAACTGGCCCTATTCAATAATTGATTTTTGTATTTTTTGTATTAAATTAAGTTGTAATTATTAAATTATTAATTTTTAAAGTGAACGATGTTTATCAGTGAGTTTGACAATCTCAGATTTTTTTATTATTTTTCACAGTGAAAAAGTGTAACGAATAAAAACTATGAGAAATTATTTTAGAAATATTTAAAGTATTTAATTTTTTATTAATTTTTATTAATTAATTAATATATCGGTAACAAAAAATCTCTCAAACCAAATAATTTGATTCGCTCTCAGCTCATAGCTTAAGAGGACAGTTAGTTTAAATCTCTCACAAGGATGGGTAGTCCAGTGGTTAGAGCTCCCGACCTTCAGTTTTAAAACAGAGGTTCGATCCCAAGCGTAGATGAGATTTTTCAAAGTCCTCAAATATTTCAATTTATCGAATTTTGAAAAAGAATCCGAGAAATTTCTTTTGTTTAATTTTTAAATAGTTTAATTATAAATTAATAATTAATTAATTGTACACTGAATAAAGGGTTTGGTATTGACAACCAAACGTTTGGTTGGTATTTAAGCAACTAACATTTTTTTGTTGAATCAACAAAATTTTAATTTTCTGAACCAAAATTTGTTTGACACAACCAAAATTAGAAAAAAAGGATTTTTGTTGTCCTAACTAAAGTTTGATTGGAACAACCAAAATTTTGTTGATTCAACAAAAAAATTTTGGTTGCTTAAATACCAACCAAACGTTTGGTTGTTAATACCAAACCCTTTTTTCAGTGTAATAATAAATAAATATGCATTATTTCATTCTTTATTTTCAATTTAAGGAACAAAGAAAACTGTTAGACTGTCATTTAACGTGTAAAACGCGTGGCAATCGTTTTGTCTATAATGTGATTATCATTTCACAACAAAATAACAATTTAATATTAAATTTATGTTTTATAGATTAAATACGGACGAATTTAAATTGGTAATATTAAAATTAAATACTTTAAATATTTCTAAAATAATTTCTCACAGTTTTCATTTAATTTCGTTTAATTTATTATTAATTATTATTTATTGTAAATTTAATTTAATTTTATTAATTATTAACTTTGGTTTGTCTATCTTAGGTGAAGTATATGTTCTGGATGATGGTGGAGAAGTAGATCTTGATTTAGGAAATTATGAGAGATTTTTAGATATAACATTGCACAAAGATAATAACATAACAACTGGAAAAATTTATCAATCAGTTATTGAGAAAGAGAGACGTGGAGAATATTTAGGCAAGACTGTGCAAGGTAAGCTACATTATTTATTAAATATGGTGCGGTTTGTAGAATTTTTGAAAATTATATGTAGACGTCTACATGAAAGAGGCTTGGCGGTTATAGTTCCCAAGATAATAGCAATTTGTTAATATCTGAGAGAAATCTTGAATTTTTTTTATTAATTTAATTCAATCTACTGGGTTTCACATATCGAATAAGGTGACTGTACCAGTTAATTAACAAACAGTAGTTTTTGCAACTTTGTCTAGTTGTTATTTTGAAACAGTAGTTCAATGATAGCTAAAAAATGTACTATATTCTTGAATACTCTAATTTTTTAATAACATTTTTCCTCCTTTATATAAAATAACCAGAACTTAATAATTAATGGAAATATAAAAAATTGATGAAAATACTCATTATTTTTAAACCATTTACTACTTCAAATATTAAAAATTTTATAAATATTTATCTTTCATTATCTTTTAAACAAGTGACATCAAATATAATCGTAAAATATTTTCGACATTTATAGGTCAGAAACTGGCATTTTTAATGTTAAAATAAAATTTTAGGGGTTAATAAAACGAACATGTGATTCGTAAATTTATTTCAAACTAATTATACAAAGGTTCTTTAAAAAGATTTTTTTTATATTTAACATTAAACATTATTTTTAAAGAAATATAACGCTTCAGCATTGACGAATCAACGGGTTTTTCTCACTCTTTAAAATTTATTTAATTGAATTTTTATCAATTAAATCATTAAAGACCGTAGCAGGGTAAGCATGGAAAAATTGCACCCTCTTGGATTAGGTCGACGTTTAAAGTACGGTGCTATCTGGGTGCATAAAAAAACGAAAGTGGGGTTATTAGGAAGGACGCCCGTGAATGGTCTTTCGGGCATCGGTGACTAGAGCGTTAACCAATCACGGACAAGCACCCCACTATGTGCACTCTAAATTAACTGCAGTTGCCATATTCCAGCAATAAGGCACAGTAAAGCGTCTATAAATTATTGGGATTGGCGGTCTAGTAACTTTTATCTACACGGAAAAAAATCAATGGTTGCCACAGCCATACCTTTGGTTGTCTCAACCATATTATATTGAAAAATACGTCCCAACCATACCTCCGGTTGCTCCAGCCATATTAAATAGCTAGCTTTAAATTGTTAGCACAAGTAGAATATATGGCTGTGGGAACCATATATTTGGAAAACATACAAATGCTAATATGGATGTGACAACCATTTTTAATTGATGCTTCGACCATTATTTAGTGTACCATATTAATATTGTTGAAGCAACCATTTTATATGGTTACAATTTATGTTTATTTTATTTGTTTAATATTATCAATAAGGTTATTTTTGATTAATTTAAAACATTGAGTCCCATATAAACGTATTTATTTTTTTGAAATAATCGCCAAATATAAATTCGTTAACAAAATAAACAATCGTATCGCACCTTTTATTATAGTATTATAATTATAGTGCGTGCCTAAGTGTCGCAAACATTGAAGAATTTCCTTATTTACAAATTATGACTGGGAAAGGTGAATGTAAATTGTTTAAAAGCACGCAGTCAACTTCGAAGCCTATTTTTTAAGGAAATCAATGCACTCAGCTTCCATTTTTTAACTTAAAAAACACATTAACCGGGATCATTATAATTCTTAAATGATTATAGAAAATGTTTAGGACTGCGGACATATACACGTTTCGTGACGCTTGGAATTAATGCGAGTAATATAGACGTAATATATTGCATCACCGCGCAGACAAGGTGCGCAGGCGTCTATAGGGGCCTTAGCAATTCAAAAATGGATAGGATAATAAAATTGTTAAAATTCAAACCAATATTGTTACCTCAACTAAAGCTATGGTTGATATATCCATATCATAGGTACAAATATTATATGGTTGCCACAACCATTCTTTTTTGTCAATGTATCCATACTGAAAGCTGCTTCAGCTATATATATGGATGCCTCAACAATATTATGACCAACAATATTTTTATGGTTGGGACAACGATACCTTTTCTTTCCGTGTACTTCGTCAGACATTTTGGTTATTATTTCTTTTTCTATCGTGTTAATTACAGAAGGACTAAATAGGAAAATATCTTAAAATCGGTTACCCGCAAAAGTAGTGGAAGGGGATACATGCGTCAATCCTCCCTAAAGGATCTCTAGATACTACAGATAGGGAAAATTGTTACGCATGACTTAGACAAGTGGGAAAATTTAAAATATGTGATTTTATAGATGAGAAAGTAAATGTCTAAAAAAACTTATATTAAATATAATGTAAATGTTGAAAACAATAACGTATTGATAATATAAATACTATCTCAACGATCAAGAATTGCAGTATGTTTTTCCCTCAAATAGGTAAGAAGGTGAATTATTTTCCAAAAATAGGTGAGAATAAGGTGTTGAAAAATAATTAAGTTTTGAATAGAATTGAGATTTGAATCAATTAAAATTTGGATAATTTGAATTTTTGTATCAACTGCAACTTAAATTATTATTATTATACAAAGGTTTTGTATAAAAAACATGGCCTCAGCAAACACTTAGTTTGGCGAATGTCTGCAGTCTATACATATATATTTATATACATATATATATAAACGTGCTTATATACTGGATATGAATAAAGTAAAATGCATAAAATAATTATAAAAATAAATAAGAAAATATATTGGCTCCTGAATTTTATAGTGAAGTATGCGTTTTAAGGGTCAAACAAGATTTTTTTATTTTTTAAAAATGAAATACCCTGTCTATCATCTTAGTAATTTTTAAATTACAGTTTAAGAGAAGAATATTTCGCAGAAAAAAAATGGCGGCGGTACAAAAATTTTTTTTTCATACTTGTGAAAAAATTTGGTCACCAATTTTTTCCCAAAACTGTCTCCATTAGTTGTGTAACATATTAAATTTTTATTAAAACCGGTTCAAATTATTAGGAGAAAATCAAAGTTTTTGATTTTTTCGAAAAAACCATAACTTGAAAAAAAACTTCTTGAGTTCACACTTGGTGAAAGTAAGTTATATAATAGCACTAAAATGTACTCCAAACGTCGACCTAATCCAAGTGGGGGTAATTTTTCCATGCTTACCCTGCTACGGCCTTTAACAACACTAATCAAATATAACTTTATGTATAAGGAGATACGAAAAATATTTCCTCATACAATGTATTAAATCAGATAGAAAAGGTAGAAAAAATTTTCTGTTTTTTCTATCCCATACGAAACGCATTCAACTAATGGCAGCGTATTTTCTTGTGCGACCAGAGTATGTACACTGTACATACTCTTGAAGAATATCATTCAACAGTAAAGTAACATACAATTAATCTACTGTTGTAGTTGTGCCACATATAACTGACGCTATTCAAGAATGGGTTGTTCGAGTTGCTAAACAGTCAGTTTCTGTAGATGGCAATGAACCAGAGGTATGTTATTTTTTGTATTAGAAAGTCTCCATGAGTAGACAATCTTTTTATTCAATCTAAAATGTTTTTTCACTTTAAAAGTTGTGAAGACTTAATTTTATCTAATTTCTTTAATTACAAGTTACATGCAGTCAGATATTTTTTTTTATCTTCAACCAAAATATTTTTTAGGCCAATTTTCTGAAGCAATAATTTTTTAGGAAACAAATTTATTTATAAGTGAACCAATTTCAAGATTTATAAGTGATTCATGACAGTGAAAGTGTTATATTAATTGTAATTAGAAAAATAATCAATGTTTTTTTTTGTCGGCGAGTTATTAAATTGCGCATGCGCTTCACGAAGACGCGACACATTTTACAAAACTCCTGTATCAAAAAATCTAACGGATTACTGGAGAGCAGCTGAGCATCCCTGCATCCACTCAATTGCGCATGCACTTCAGACGAAACATTTTACACAACTCTTGAATCAAAACATCCAACCGATTACTGGAGAACTTAGATTTACACTATTCGTGAATTTTACAAAAGTTTTCTTCTAGTTTTTGTGAAAAACATTCTTCAAATATTATAAATGATTCTATTTTAACTTATGGCACGAAAATTTTAACGAAGGACGAAAATGAAGAAAATATGGACACAATGATTACGAATCCCAGGTCAGTTTTTCAAAATTCAAAATGGCGGATCCAATATGGCGCACTTTTTCAAAAAAATCGTTCGGATTTGCTTGAAAATCTCTACACGGGGGTTTTCGAGGTCGCTGATTACGAATCCGAGGTCAGTTTTTCAAAATTCATAATGGCGAATCCAATATGGCGGACAAATATTTAAAATCATTGGAAACTACTTACTTGGTAACTTTGTAGGGTCGCTGATAACGATTCTGACGTCAGTTTTTCATATTTAAAATGTGCGAATCTAATCTATTAAACGAATTTTTAAAAAATTGTTCGATTTTTATTAAATTTTAAATCCAGAAGTTTTTGAATTATTGAAAACTAATCTAAAGTCCAATTTTTAAGATATTTCTTTAAAATAGTCAAATTTTGAAAATCTGGCTTGAAACTCGTAATCTGGTAATTCTAAAAAGAAAAAGTATGGAATGAAACATTTTTTGCACGTATAATTTTTTTAAACAGGTTAATTTAAATTAATAAGTTTTTTCAAAATTTGTTCGCCATATTGGATCTGCCATTTTGAATTTTAAAAAAACTGACGTCGGATTCGTAATCAGCGACCCCAAAAACCCCTGAGTAATTATTTTCAGACAAATATATTAAGTTTCTTCAAAAGTTGTTCGCCATATTGGATCCGCTATTTTGAATTTTGAAAAACTGACATCGGTTTCGTAATCAGAGACCCCGAAAATCCCCGAGTAACGAATTTTACAAGTATCAATAAAAGGTATCTCTTTAATTAGTAATTTGTTTATAAAAAATTACGTGTGTTCTACTAGAACATAATTTTACAAATCACAAATCTGTAGGAGTACTTTAAGTGTCTAATAATAAAAAATATTTCGATTTTGTTGTAATATTCATACGATTCACGCAGGAAAAAGGTACTTTTTATTTGTTTATTTATATTAATATAATTATATATACAAAATGAAAATTAAAGATTTGGGTTTAGCAATATCTTAAAAATTTAGTGAGGATTATTTTAAGTCAAGAAAATCGAAAATTATTAAAAAATTATTAGTTTTACGCTGTTTTTAGTGCTTAATGTGTATCCTGTCTCAAAAGTGCCAGACGAATGAGAATTTAGCAGTTTTTTTTAAAAAAAGGTAGAAACAACATTAAATAAAAAAATAAGCAATTATATCCTATAGGGAATTCAAAGTTGCAATACATAAGCCTATAAAAGGACCTAAAAATAATATTTTTTTCAAAAAAATAGATGCCAGACGAATGAGAATTTGTCTGGTCACAACGCAATCCTGGTCACAAATTGAGAAATCTTGGTTAATATAATAACAAATTAAATAAAACGCGCGTGGTATCACATTTAGTTTAATTAACAACAATAACGAACTGTAACTTCATTAGAATGTTGATTTTTAATAATTTTAACGTGTTTTCAACTGCCAGACGAATGATAACAAAATCCAGGGACAAAATTCAAGAAGATATTTTATAAATAAAGTATAGAGTAATGTCATAATTATTTCCATATTAATAATCTATAACTATTCAAAATTACTAATCAAGTATGAATTTTCCGCTAAACACTTGAAAAATAATTTTTTTTCACAATATGAACTGTCAATTACACTGCGGGACATGCCAGACGAATGAGAATTTAGCACTTTGATGTGTATTTTTTGCAAGAAATATTTTTTTTTCATCGGCTGCTTTTTAGTGCCACAATAGAAACGATTTAGATGTACAATTTTCATAAAAAAAATTCTTTTTTTCAAAATTAATATATAAAGTAAGCTTGACCGCTCATAATTCCCTCGTTTGTAGAATCACCCTTATTCTAAACTCCTCTCCGTATCCGCTATTCCGAAACTAGTTTTGAGTCAGAATTTATGAACTGGCCCACCTATTCACCAACATTCATAAAAGATCAAAATTAATGTACTTTCTTGTAGTATTAGGTGTTAGAAAAGATATCCTAAAAGGGTTTAAAAAATTTTTTAAATTGACAAAGTTATAAATAATTGAAGTTTTATGCACCATATTTTTAAAAAATTCACAGTTTCGAGAGATTATATTTAAAAAATATGTTTGAACCGGCATTTTATCAACAAATGTATGTAATTTTTAGTACTGTATAGTAATTTAAAAATTTTTATTTTTTAATGCAAAATTCTGTATTTTTTATAAACAAATAGAGATATTTTATTGTTCCAAATTGCTAAATAAATTTTTTTTATACATTATAATTCCTTATTTATTCAAGATGAAGTACGAAAAAAATTTTTTGGTATTCGTTATTTTTGAGAAAACGACAAGAGTTTTTGTCAGGCGCTGCACGTCATGAGACACTGCCGCGCCGCGCCGCTGCTTGCCGGCGCGCTACACGTCTCGCGAATTCACGATTTTGAAAAGCCTAAGGAGAGCAATTGAACACATTTCATTTTAAAAAGCTGTATTACATTAGAGTTTATTACTTATTTGCTTTTCTAAATTTTTTTTATCACTACATTTGTGTCATTGGAAAACAATTTACACTCAAGTTTATCGGTTGTTCTTGTTGCAGAAAAGAAATGAAACTGCATAGTATCTTTAATAGCTTTGGCCTCAGAAAATCGAGGTTCACGTAATTCGTCATGAGCTGCATGTTGCTGAGAGGTACAATAAAAAAAAGATATCTTTTTAAAAAATGATTTTGCCCAGTTGAAAAGTTTTTCTGCACTCGTAATGGGATCATTACTTTGCAAACTTGATTTTTTTGCATGTCTTTTGACAGTGCCCCCAACTCCGTCGCAGGCTCCTTTCCCATGCGATGTTGCGAAGAAATTCCATTCGGCTTCGACATTATGGTCTATTACATGATTTGCTAAATTTGATAAATTAAATCTATTTTTATACTGCGATCCAGCGCCGTCCGAGAAATAAAATATTTTTTTCACATTGTCTCTTCCAAAACGACTTTTCAAGTAATCAATCATTTTACAGTTAAACAAATTTTTCAGAACTAGCATTATGAACAAGTTTTTCCGAGATCGCTACGTAATTTAAATGTTTTAATTCGTTATTTTTTCTATAATAAATTACATATGGATGAAGGGTTACTTGAGGAGTAGACCAAAGGTAGGATTGAATGGCATCTTGCACGTGGCATGTGTAATTTTCAGCAAAGTCCAGGCGTACTACGAACTCTCCATCAAGGATGTTATCTTTTTTGGATTTTAAGTATTCTGCTTGACTTTTTGCCAGGAAATCATGTTTCAAAAGAACTAAATAATCGTTACCCAAATTTTTCAGAAACTCTTCTATGGGCTCGACTTTTTCTACAATTTCACACCTGAACAATTGAAAAATAAAAATTAAAAGAACAAATAAGACAAGATAATTAAAAGATTCCCAGTAAGTATAATTTACAAAACAAGTTTAGTAAAAAAAATTTTAATATATCCGAAATATTTTAAAATAAGATTCTTGAGAAAATAAAAGTTTTAAGTTTTAACAGTTTTTACAAAAATAATAAATTATCTATGAGGGAAATAATGTTACTTATAAATATTATATTAATTTTTTACCTGTCAGTTGACATCCATTGAGTAAAATTGATTTCTGTAACGTCATTATCTTCCAGAATCGCTTTAAATTTTTTTGACATTTCTTCTGTTCCTAGACATTCATTACATTTTAAAAAGAAACAATCTGGCACCGAATTTAGACAAACAATTTCCTTAAGACAATCTTCAAAGGAAATTTCAAATGAAACCCCTTTATGTTTTAAGTTTTGCTTTAGTCCAAACATTTTTAATCTTACATTTTCATGTGTTTTACAAACGCATACATTGTGCGTTCCACTTTTACCAACTACAATGCATTCCTTTGGCCTGAGCTTCGTAAATTTTGATAATGATATTTTTATACCTGGATTAGATAATAGAAACTTATCATATAATTTATCCACATTATCCGACAGTAATCGTTTTTGCTTTAAATCACGTACACCATTTTCAGAGACCGATATACAATCTTTAGCACCGGGCATCACTCGACTTACATCGTCCGACAGGTAAAATTCTCTTACCTTATCAATTGTTTCGTCAGGCAGTCGTCGACCACTTTTTTTCGGTTCCGGACGCGTGCCAAATCCCTTTTATCGCAATTTCTTCGCTTGACGTGTCATTCGACGCGAAACGTTAAACGTTTTTTGAATGTTTCGATTACTCCAGTCAGCTAGAAGCGTTGTTAATAAAAACAATTTATCAGATCGCTTAGTTTTCTTCGTTAATGATTGTTTAAATTCTTTGATCCAGCTTTCTTCTAAATTATTATTATTCTTAGAATCACTCTCTTGCGATAATGAATT